ATATTCCTGCTTATTCTTTTTTTTAAATATTTAATGTTCATTGGAATTAAATTTTATATTGTTATTGTTTGTATTTTGAATCTAATTTCATGCGTATCTCTTTAAAAATTAAAAAAGCTTTATTTAATATTCAGTTATTAGAATTAAATAATTTTATATTCCAGTGTTTTGGAAAATCTTTATTCTAATACGTATCTTTAAAAAATCAAAATTTAATATTCAGTTATTAGAATTCAATTTAATCTAATTTTAGACATATTTAAAAAAAAAAATAATATTCAATTATTAGAATTGTATATTCTAATATTTTCAAATATGTTTATCTAATTTCATGCATATTTGTTTAAATTAAAAAGTTTTATTTAATATTTAATATTCAATCATTTTAAATTATAGGATGTTTAAATGTTATAATGCAATTTTTTAAGTTTTAAAAAGTTTTACGTTTTTTATTTTATATTCAATAATTAGAATTCAATTAGATTAGATTAGAATTATCATTTGAAATTATTCATGCATATTTTTTTTAATGAAAATGTTTTAATATTCAATTATTTTAATTAAATTGTGTTTAATATTATAGTATTTGTAAAAAAAAATTCTATATAATTTCTGTGTTTTTTTTCCCCCGTGTTTTTCCTGGCAGCGCTCCGGTGTCTCTGTTCCCGTCAGACAGCATCTATGAGGTTTCTGCTCCAGAGGTGGACATCCAGAGCCGCGAGGTGTTCGAGTGTCACGTTCAGACGGGTCGTGGCTGGGTCAGGACTCTGTGTCAGGAGGACGTGCTCATGTACCGCGAGTACATCAAAAACAGATACATGTAAATGTCTCCAAACCATTCAGATCCACTGATGGAAAATGGTTGAATTATTAGAGCAGCGGTTCTCTGTTCTGCTCGTTTTAAAGGGAGTCATTTGAGCATCAAAAATATACGACATTCCTTTTCCCTATAAAAGCAATGCAGGAGTGTTCATGAAGAACAGACGTCTCTGTGACTTTAATAGATTGTGTGGCGTGCAACAAATCGATTCGCAGACGAGCTTCTAATTAAGTTGTGCCTGATGTTAATGTGATGTATGAAGTTACATATGTACAGAATAGAATAAAATATCATGAGACTCAGCTGAGTGTTTTTATGTTTTATGCGTCGTCCTGAAGTGTTTGTGCTCAAATCGTGTGTGTTGTTGAGGAATTTATTAAGTGATCAGATGCAGCATTTCACCTGCTGGAGCAGAAAAAAGACGCACAATGAAGGCGGAACCCGAGACGCATCTACAGAACAGAAGATCACACCAGATGCATTTCACACCAGACAGGAAGAAAACACATTGCAACCACCCAGAACACCTTAGCAACCTCCTGGCAACCACCATATCACCCAAGGTCTTCTGGGTGGTTGCCAGGAGGTTGTTAACAACCTAGAAGACCTTATCAACTTCCTGGCAACCACTCAGCAACACCCTGGCATTGTGGCAGCGACTTTTGCAACTTAGGCAAGTACTGCTTACATTTCCTTTGAAAGTTTTAAACTTTTTTTTTTAAGTTTTAAAAATTTTATATA